TTTCTGTGTTAAATAGAAATTTAAATTTTGAATAAAATATTACACTAAAGTCACAATGTCTGTTTTCACAACAACACAACTACATAAAATTAGGCAGATATAAGGCTTCTAATAAAATAATCTAATTGCAGAAGGACTTAATAGCAAATATAAATATTTAGTTTGACAAGTTAAATTGAAATATGATGCAACAGATGATAATAAATTGGGGGCCGAACGAGGAGCCACAGCTGGATCGCTGAAAAGAGTTGAATTTCCCATCACTGACTGATAACAATAAAAAGCACAGTGATTGTCTTTATATAGTACCATATGCAAATGAGTCCAAAACAGAACTTTTTGATATACATGAAAAATGTATCACCCTGAACATCTTCACTGTCAAACATAGTAACAGTAGCATCATGCTGTGGGGGTGCTTTCGTCAGCAGGAAACAAAAGGTTTTATTTTTCAACAAGGTAATCAACATGCCCAACCCCAAGCCCAAAATAACATTAAAGACCTGTGCCAAGATGCTCTCCATCCAATGTGACTGGCATTGATCCATTTCAAATTGAAGAACAGTTTAGTTTCTTGGAGTACAGAGCTTTTACAGAGAAACCGTTTTAAGACTGGCTGCTGCAATTGCAGCAAAGGCTGGTTCGACAAAGCTTGACATGCATCGGATAGGTTTTCCCGTGGCAAAATGCGAGAAAGCTCAATTGCAACAAATGAATCGCAAGGCACTCAAACGACCACAAGAAGCCAGAAGCAACCCTACCATGATAAGCCACTGTTAAGGACAAGGTGGGTAGTTGGTGGATGACAAAGCAGGAAGTAGATATCCCAACAACCAAGTAGTGCAGACATTACACCCACAAATGAAGCCCAAAACTGGAGATGCTGTGCTCATCAGCAAGAAAAATATTCAAACTGCAGTCTGCAGTTTTTAAAACTTACTCATGTCAGCAAAGCCATTACAAGAGCCGAGTTCACAACACCGGAAAGTACAAAGTTAAAACTATGGGTTCCTCTGGGTCCAGCCAGTGTTGACTAATTCTATCCACCAATTCATTTTGCAAGACATCTAACATGAACTGGACATAGTTCTAATGCTACGCTTAGTCCATTTGGCCACAGGTTTCTACTTACAAAATTTTCATTAAAATCCATCATCTGGATGTGAAATAACTACTTTAAATGTACAATGACCACTTCTTTTTTACATTCCGAAAATTTTCAGACTTTAAAAAAAAGGGACAACAAAAAGTATTTCATCATTTTGGCCGACCAGTCCTTAGTCTAATTTTATTCCAAAAATAATAATAATTAAAAAAGTCTTCTTCAGTAAAATCCCTTTCCTGAATGGCAGTCATCAGGCCAGAAAGGTGACCTGCTCTTGTTATCACACCAGCAGGCAAACGCTCCACAATGAAGGTGTTAATAAAGGCAAAGGCAGGATTACACAGGTTTCTACCATCCTGGTCACATTTACTCACAAATGGTATTGGCATTGGTATTTTCCCGTCCAAAAAAACAGAAGAAGAAGAAGTCGTGCTTTTAATGTCAGCAGTTAAACAGCGCTTTCTTTCTCACACGCTGCAGCAGGGGGGGAAGGCCGCCCGCTCCGCCGCTCACAGAGTTGGAAAAGTTGCACGTTTCGTCCAAAGCCTCACCTCCCGGCGCCGTCCCGGTACCTCGTGTCAAACAGGCGCCGTGCAACAAGCACCTCGGCGGCGAAACCCCAACTGTTGCGTGTCGCCTGGGCCGCCGAGACGAGCCTCAGGAAATCCCTCGAACATAAACACAAACTGGCAAATGGAGGCCGAAAGCCACGCCGCTGCGCTCGCATCGACCGACCCCGTGCACGCGGCTGCGAGCCAAACGCGCATGCACGGCGCGTATCAGCCCCTCCAATGGCGCGTGATTCCCGACCCGCCAGCTCGAGGAAAGCGGGAGTCCGGCACCATCCACGAGCTCATTATGGTTGGTCTCACCATTTCCCCCTTTTTTCTCTCACCTCGCGCTCCTCGGTACTTACAACTCTGCGCAAGTTGCGTTGATTGCTTCCCGGGTTTTACTGTAAAAAGGCGTGACACTTCCTGTGGGTTTCCTTTACTTCTTCAACCTTTTCGATCTCATCTCCATTCTCACCCTCTGTGAGTCACACACACGCACAATCCTCACTGCCCCACACATACACACACACATCCGTGCTCCGGGGCGATGACGTCGAGCTCCAGTAGCCAATGGGCAATCTTCTCCTGTTGGACAACTCCGCTGGTCCCTTCGCTCTCCTGTGGAGTAAACACCTCTAAAAACAAGACAAACGTATTTTATAAAGTAGTCCTAAGCGGAGGCGTAAAGGTTCTCAAGTCATTTCAAAGAACTGACTGCCACAAAGAGTCAGCGTTTTAATTCTATTAAGTATTAAGTCTGAACAAGATGCCGTCAAAGCTGATCGGTCGAGGGGATTTATCAAGATGGCGGCGCGCGGATACGGCAAAAATAAATAATAGTAAAAAAATAAATAACCTAATTTACTTATTGGGGAAATGTCAAATTCTCTTTACGTTCGGTTGATTTTAAAGAAGAATAAAATATATTGTAAAGCCTAACCCAACCAAACCCGTCAGTCTCCTGCAGTAACACCACGTCGTTTTGACATATTTCATGCTAACACGCTCCATAAAAATAATCCCACCATTAAACGCTGTTCTGTTCGTCGGAGGCGTCAAATTACGCGAGTTTATCGGAATCCATAAATAAAATGAAACACACATAAAAATAAGCTTCCTCCTGGTGGTATTGACACGAAGATTTGCGATATTGTTTGCTATAGTTTAGCAAACACAACAGGCTGTGTGGATCTTACCTGAGTGTTTGTTACCTTCCTGCTACACGTGTTGAGTTATAGAAGGTTTTTGGACTTTGGCCAATGACCTTCTCAAGACGAGTTCTGTTTTTGTGCTGCCTCATCACACAGGAAGTCACATAAATATGTTTGTGTTTTATTTCACCAGGCATCAGTCATGCCTTTTTACTTGTAACCCCCAATGACATGCTTTAGCTATCAGGTAGGTACAGTCACAGTGTGTGCTTGTTGTGGGCCCCATTTTGTTTTCGCTCAGGCTAGTTGTATTAGAAGGGCTTGGGATCACAATGGAGCTTTTGTAAAGGACAACATATGTTGTCTAAATGCAACCCATACCAGCAAAACAAGTTGGGTGCCTTATGTAAGATGTAGCTTGGTCTCAAACGGTTATTTGAAAAAAAAAGATTATTTGGTGGTTTTACACATTTAGTGCTTATATGGATCAAAATGTTTACCTGAAGTTGTTTTGGTTCAACCCTGATAACATGAGGTTACCACACACAACACAGAGGGGTTAGAAATAACTTTATCTCTTAATCTAAAACAATGTAACTCTGGTTGCTTCATGTAGACTTTTTTCAGGTACAAAATGGTGCCATAATGAACGTGCTAATTTGTAGAACCACGGGCATGGCACTTATTACCTGTAACAATCAATGACTTAAAGGTAATTTTTTATGTATTACTTATAGTTTACTCGACTAAATATTACCTTTGAGATCACTTTGTTCTATTTTGGTTTAATCTGGAATGCTACTCATATCCCAGATTCAGATTAAATCCGTGTTCAAACTTATATGTGCCCCATATATAAATGTAAACTGGGTGTTAATGCAGTAAATAGAAAAATAACTGAAGATAATAACATCTTCAGTTATTATAACAATGCTGTGTATCAAACATAGCTTAAAAGAAATTTGACTTCGCAATTTAACGCCTTGAAATTGGGCCTCTGTCTCTTTAAGAACTTGTTCATTCAGACACACATCACAACAACACTTCTCATTGTGTCATTTCTTTGGCGTGTTGGACTGAAAAGTAGTTTGTATGATGACCTCAGTAGACATGCAGTTCCACTAGGTGTTTCCTCCTGCTGCTGCTAGTCTGAAGGAGTTGAATGAAGAAGCTGCATCTACGAGGTGGAGCTCTGGGTAAATCAGTGGTGCGTTGTAAGAGCAAGTGTTTTGGTGCCACCTAACTCCAGGATGTTTTTGATGAGGGAATAATGTATAAAACTCAAAAAGTCAATTTTGAACAATACCTCTTGTTTAAGTTAAAGCCAGAAAAATGTAATGCAAATGTATTGATATCACAAAGCACCCACTTTTATATACACAAAGGTTTGAGATTCTGGAAGTAAAGGAGCCGAACAGGCATACAAAGATTTAGTTCAGTGCAAGTAAATCCAATCACTAAAATCAAACACAAGTTGCATTTTTAGTCATTGGTACATGTTTAATATACAGGGGATTACACAACAGAATAAACATGGTTGATGATGTCTTGATATCTGGGTTTAGGTGTGACTTGCATTGGTAAAGTTATGACCAGGTTAACTGGGCTGCTGGGACATTTATGTGGAGCAAATTTCTAATCTCTGACGCGTTCAGGGAACCGTTAGTTGAAACCATGATATCAATTTGCACTGAAGAGTGAGTAATGTGCAGAAACATCCACGCTGTCTTCAGCTGTTTGATGTTGGGTCTTTGTATGTCAGGATTTGCTTCTCTCCATTTACGCTAAGGTCACAATGTTCTGTTCACAGCACTGAAAGCCTCTGCACCGTATTGAGTGCTGCACTAAAAGAGCAGGCACTGTTTGAATTAGCATCTTCCAGCGAGAGCCAGACACAGTTCATTTAAGGTAAACTGCACCACATCCACCTGCTGGGCTGTTTGGAAAATCTGCTCAGTTTAGACTAAATTTAATACAGCACAAAGAAGCCGGAATCTTTCTAACAAATCAGAGGAAATATTTTTCTCAAGCAGGGGCATAATTCGGCAATAAATGTAAATCTATCTCATTATCCACTTATTGGATTAATGGTTCAAAGTTGAAGGTTAAAGCATTTACTGAGCTGCTGCACATACTAATTTGCTCGCTACCATTTCATAAAAAGATTTAGCACTTCAGAGAGAACCTTATTTAACGCTTAAGCAAAAGTTTGCACTTCTCAAGAGAAAACAAGTGGCCCCCTATGCCATACACATATGGACTAATAGACATGTAGGAAGCTGAGATGAAGAACTCAATTTCAATCCAAATAGGACTGACACTTGGGCTGAAAGTCCACTGAAGGATTAGATAGAGAGTCCAGTCTACCTGAAACAATCCCATGGCTGCTACCACAGCCACCGTACTTCGATAGAAACCCTGACTCTTCCCAAGGTGGTGATCGGGGGACATGGTATCACTGGCCGGTCTCACTGTATTGTGGTCCAGGAGCACCATAATCGTCAAGCTGCTGGTGACCGTGATGATGATCAAGGGCAGCAGGTGGCACAGCACCATGATGAGGTATTTGTACACACAGTTGAGTACGGGACAGTAATTCTCACCACACTGAAAGAAATCCTTGGGGCATCCTCCTCCGTTTTCCGTCACGTTTACCACGGATCCTCGAAAAGTAATGGCAAACATCGGGAGACTGAGGAGGATGGAGAGCGTCACGCAAACTCCACTCAACATCCAGGCAGATGCGATGCTGTCCAGGCAAATCGGGAGGCTGCCCCTGCGGTCGACGTCTCTCAGCTTCAGGTAGCGGAAGATGCAGATGACGACGGTGAAGAGGATGCTGGCTATTTCACCAAATGTAGTCATGAACTTAAGCAAGCGACACCACCAGGCACCGGTAGTGGTGAAAACAGTCTCAAGTATGATAATATCATAGACATTTATGCTGACAATTTCCCCTAGGTTGACTGAAGCGAGTCCCAGTAGAAAGAGCTCAAAGGATTTAATGTTGGACACTCTGGTCTGGAAGATGGAAAGGAAGAGCGAGACGTTGCCTACAAGTCCGACGCATGAGACAAACATTCTCAGGCCCAGGAGGTCGACAGAAAGGTCAGACATTGCTGAAAGTGTGCCGGATCCAGCAAAATCGTATCTTTTTCTTCTGTGCTCTTCTCAAAGAAACGAGGCGATGAACTGTCTTTCCTGCAAGAAGCGAAGTCATGAAATTAATTTCGTCACAACCTTGTTATCCGGTTCTCAAAGAGGGCAGGAATACAGGTTGGTGATTGGCTGTGTTGATTATGAAGGCAGGGAAACAAGAGGCAGTTGTAAACACCAGAAGGCTGGGAGTAATTAAAGTCTTACCTCTGAGCTTTTCAACACTTCATCTAGAGACCAACGTCTGACTTCAAGAGAGCGACGTGTCTTTTCAACTAACTAGTCTTAAAAAAAAACAACTTGTTTATTGCACTTGACTTTTTCTGCTACCTGGACCGCTTGTCATTTCTCGTAAAAGTGACAATAGCTGACATGACAAAACTTCCCCTATATATATATATTACACTTTTAACCAATCAAAGAGTGAACGTGTGTTTCTGTATTGCCCTGTGATACAGATGCCACCTGTTCTGGTTGTATCCCACCTCCCACCTATGGACCATTTGGGATAGAAACTAGCCCCTCTACCACGCTGCCTGGATAAAGCAGGATGGATTCAGCTCAATGGAAAGCAAGTCATTTTTCCTAAATTTGTTAACATTTTCAAAATGAAAGAACCTATTCATTTTAAATAGAAACATGAAGCATTCTCTGTTTCCTATAGGAATACAACACACACTTCCACACCACGATATCAAAGCTTGAGCAGACAATAAGTTATCATCTAAAACTTAAATGTAAGCTTGTACGTTTTACTGCATGAAAGAGAATGGCAGTTTTACAGCACGTTCCCTTGTGTGTGCTGTTGTGAACTAACGGAGGAAGCACTTTAATGGGACAGGGGCTTCTGGACCCTTGGTGTTGGCGCAGGACCGGGTCATGTTCCAGCTTGTCTCTTTTTGCGTTCGGCACTGTCTTGTTAGTCTTCGTTTTCTTTAACTAAGCCCTGCATCCTGATTCAGCTTGATTGTGAATCCCAGAGAGAGCCTGTAACTAAGGAAAAGCTCCACACTGGCAGCAAGTTGGTAATCTGTGTGTTGCACAATGAGCCTGGACAGTGGAGGAAGTTGTAATCATCTCACCAACATCTTGCAACTGCTGAACACAGATTTAAACAATGGACTGTTATGAAAACTTGTTACTACAACGATAAGCTAAAGTATCTGTTGTTTTGCATCATGCTTTTGTGTCTATTTCTTCTTTTTTTAAGCAAACATTTGATGGATCGTACGGACAAAAATGCAAACAGCCACGAGGCGGCTGCACAAATTGCCATCAATTTGATGGGTTGCCATCAAAAATTCTTTTTGGTGTTAATGTAAAAATCGAAACGCAGAGAAAATGCTCAGAGTTTTGTGCGTTTAGGCAAAAAGATTCAAAATCCAGGTAGCCTATTTGGCAAAGCTAAATTAACAAAATAGCATCCTAAAAATGGATAATTCCTTGACACTATTCAATTTTTTTCATTTTCTCCAACTTAAATGGGAAATATGTACCTCTTTTTACATTGCTAATCAGAAGCAGAAGTTACACATGACATTTTCTAAATATCTGTTGAAATGTTTAATTTGATATTAAATTAAATATTTCACAGCACTTTAATTAAAAGCCATTATTAAATACTTAGTTTGCTATTCTGCCACTGTAGAAGAAGCCGCTGATTGATGGAAGGAGTCAATTTTTAATAACCGATTAATGAAAATAAAAGATGTCTTTGACTCTTGTGATTATTTCTTACCTTTGTGGAGGCGAGTGAATAGCTTACAGTTGCTGCTATTTAGGATTGTGACAGAGTTACAGAGAGGGCATAAATAAAATATTTGATTTATTTGAATTTCACCAAGACAAATTCTCATAAGCCATCACATTTATGATCATGTTCTACAATAGCATACATAAATAAAAGCTTTAAGAAAATCCTCCGGTCCTTTTACTAGTCTATCCTCCAAAGTTATAGGCTGAATCGATTCTGAATCTGTTTCTTTAAACAGCTGATAAAAATGTCATGTACAAGAAACCTGCAGTGCGGTTTCTTACAGTTGCACTCCTCTACCCTCTACGTATAGGCCTCTGTACCTTCCTTGCTTTGTGTCTTGACAAAACAAGTAATGTATTGCTCACTTTGCTACACGAATAAGTCACAGTGAATGTCGTAGTGATAAGCCATCTGTTAGCACTGCTGACGGTCTCGGTAAATCAGAAGCTCACATGGTGTGCTGGAGTTCATTCGTTAACCAGATCCTTTGGTGTCGAAACCCACTAAATGCTCTGGAAATCTACTGTTATGGATCACACTGGTTTACAGTAAAAATGCACTGAGGTCGGGTTTGATGTAATTCCCACATCCAAGCTCTGACTTGACCTTTTGTGATTTCAAGTTATAAAACCTCACATCTGGTCTCCATGAACATAACCTTTTTTTAATATGTTTTCTAGTTTTCCTATTTGAATTGAAATCCTGGAACAAAACCAAACTTTTTCATTTATGTTACCTGCACCTGTTTGTATGTGGTGCACTGATCTACCCTGAACAGGCTCACCGGGGGGCCCCTGGGCTTGGAGGTTCTCGGGAGTCTAAGCTGATGTAAAGTTGGCTTTCATTTCAGCTTGAGAACACGCTGATGCCGCTGAGCTTCCTCAAAACCAAAACAAAAAAAACAAAAGAACATTTCCAATTACTGGCACGGCGCATCCGACTGAAGAGTGGGAAATCTATCGGGTCCGATGATACGCTCACCCACCCGCCTGTGATTTCCCCTTTAAAAACACACACCATGTTGCCATCACATGCTTCAGCACGAAGAAGAAGAGAGAGAGAGACAGAGAGCGAGAGAGAGAGAGAGAAAAAAAAGTAGGATATTGATGTTCTGGTTGTTGCCATATGAAACCCGCTTGCCACTCATATTTTAAAAGAAGCGCGTGAAGACCTTCTCCGTGGATTTGTGGGCTTCGCGCGGCAGGAAGGGGGGGACTCAGCCCACCCAGTCCGCCAGGCAGCCGCCTCGAACCGCCGCTGCTGCTGCTGCTAGTTGTTGTTCGGTAGCTGGTGCGCAAACTGAAAGCTGCGTGTTAACGCGAAGTGGCGGATGTGAAGAGACGTGTGCCGACCTTCTCCGAAACGGGAACTTCTCTTTAAAGGTTTTTTTTATTTATTTATTTTTTTTTCGTCGGAAGAGTGGACGGGATAACGCGTGAGGGGGGAGGAAACACCAGCAGAGCTCGGCTCGGAAGGGAAGAGAGAGAGAAAGGAGTGTTGCCTTCTCTTCTCTTCTCTTCTCTTCTCTCTTACGGGAACTCAGTTGCTGGCTCTTTTCTGCTGAGGTTGTCTCTGCGAAACGTCGGTGATATCTGAGCTAATTCCCTTTTACCGGAGCTGCGTGGACGAACCAGTCGGATGAGGATTACCTTCCGGCATAAATAAGGTGTTTATTTATTTATTTATTTATTTTCCTGCGAAAACAAGGAGAGGTAGTGAAGCCACATAAACCTACGTTGGGATAAGTAGCGACTGCTCCACATTACCTTCCCTCTGGGCTGTTTTATTTATTTGTTTGTTTGTTTGTTGGCTTTATTCGCCAGGATAAGGCTCGTGCGGACAGTTTTGTGTATTGTGATTGCCAGGGCAGATAATATCCAGGATGATGGGGCAGATTCCCAGGGAGCAGGATTGTTGCACAATGGTTTGTTATCAATCTACTACCCCCCCTTTCACTCCCCATCGACTCTCTTGCTGGCACTTCCAGCACCAGCACAAGTGAAAGCTGGATGAAAAAATATATATATATATAAAATAAAGGAGTCCAACAAGGTCAACTACTGGGGCCCCAGCTTCTCTTGACTGATGTTTGGGTCACCTGAAAAGATGTGTGGCGTGTTTCCAGTTTTAATGTGTGTCTCTGTTTGTAGTTGGGGTTGGTGTGTGTGTGTGTGTGTGTGTGTGTGGGGGGTGGGTGTGTGTGTGTGTGTGTGTGTGTGTGTGTGTCTGTGTGGGCTGGTGGTGGGAAAGTATTGAGGTGGATAGGCGGTGCACGTTCACGTGGGACTGAAACTTTATGGTGCATATAGAGCGGTTTGTATAGAGCTATTGAACTTTTCCACGTTTTTCACCCCCTCCAACCGCATACCTCTACGTATTTTATTGAGGTTTTTATATGGCAAGCCAACATAAAAATGGTGAAGTGGAAGGAAAATGATTCATTCCTTTCCTTCACAAATGACATGAGATAAAAATGTTGTGTGTGAGAGAGACTCACACACAAAAAAATAAGAAAAAAAAAGTGTTTGCTCCCTTTCAGAGTTCTTGTTATTTTTCGGGGGCTTCTGTCGCACTTAAATGTTTCACATCCTGAAAGAAACAAAAAGTAATTCAGAGGCAGAGTTGCCGGCGTTCATTAGGTCATTGTCCTGTAATGATCTCGAGATGAAACTTGTGGTTCCATTAATAACTTTTTCTCGATTTGTGAATAATGGGCGGAGACTCGAGCAACAACACCCCACCACTGTCTTGATGGAAAACGAGACCTTGCGCAGGAATCTTTGGAACACATATTTGAAAACATTATGGCTCATTTAGTTAATAACAAAAAAACCCAACCTAAACCTGTTCTGAGGTAAATCCACCACATTCGTCAAAACCCAAAAACTATCAGTTCAATTTGGAGTTGGCAGAAATTAAAATAAAAATGCAAAATGTGTACCTTACGGTAATTAGCGGTTTTCTTGAAACTGCATTATGGAGAACAAATAGACTCTATATCTATTTGAAGTGACGCTAATGCTTTGTTGGTGGCAGTGTGGTGTGACTGGTGTGGAGCCTTTAACCAGCTGTTGTGAATCCACTGAACAAAAACCGGAGTAGCTGGATGCTGATTTCGCTCTGTTTGCTCAGGTGAATGAAGAGGCTTCATAAATGCCAGAGCAATTAGCCCACGTTTTTAGTTTGTCTGTTCTGCCAGTGAGCTTATATAAACAGGTTTGTGCTGTTACGAGACGTGACAGATAAAACCTCCCCGGGGCCTCGGCTGATTCTCAGCACCGAGCGCAGAAAGTGATGTATGGAGTTATTCCTTTTGATCACTTCGTTTTCTTTCCGGACTAAAACCGAGACGGGACCCAAGAGCTATCTCTTAATGAGATCAGTCAAATCTGAACAGCGCAAGTCTATGTCTGCTGGTGTTCCCACTATTTAGTCCTGCAAGAAAAATGCTTTATCTGGTTTTTGTTGGATGTTCCCTTTTGTGCAGTGACCACAGCAAATTGTCTGCCTCTGCCTCACTCCGTCTCTGTCCTCCGTGGAGCACAACCAGCTTCTTTTTAATAAAGAGAATTTAAAAATAGCACAAAAAGGAGTTCAAATAAAACATGGGGACAAAAAAAATCTGTATATAGAGTGGAGGATGCTCATTTTCACTCCATGAATCTGCCAGTTTTCTGAAAGCTCCCATGTGTAGGTCACACTAACTTGATTTGCGATTGATTATATGTTTATAAATCAGAGTGGGGGTTTGTCTTTGCAGGTATTTGACCCAATTGTTTTGATGCAGAGGGTAAGGAATGGAACTGAGGGGCAGAACTTATAAAAACTTAGCAAAGGCCCAAGAATCCACCCTTGTGGGATCCCTCGAATGGCTTAATACGGTCACATTAATATTCTATCCTTAATCATTACATCCATAAACTTTCTCTGCAGCTACATTTTCAACCTACTTTGTTAATTATGTCCGTCTTTTTCAGACATAATTAGGGAAAACAGAGTTGACGTCCAAGGTACAGTTTGGTCTTTAACTGGGATGTAAGCCAATGTGACTTTGCAAGACTCCAGTCAGGTTTCAGTTTGTAAGCAGAACTGTATGACTGAATAAAAGGTTTCGACTCAGTAACAAAAGCTGACAAGTGAATTATGGGGGAGAAAAGTAGAGAGAGAAAAAAACATAGTTTAGACTGATTGTGGAATTTTTAATTCAATTTTTTGACTGATGTTGGGACATTTGGACATTTAACTACTGTGAGATGCCAAGAAAAATGATTTTTTTTCTGCTTAGGTCAGAGACGTACAGAACTTATAATCAACAGGCTTTGATATTTCTGTTTGAACTGGTTTTTGCTTAAGCCGTTCAGCTGCTCAGGATTACATATAGAAAACTGATGAGGGGGATAATGTACTCGATATGACGGAAATCCGGTTATTGCAGTAATGCAATTTAATGCAATGTTAAATTATTCTCCCAATTTTCAAACAGTATAAATTGTAGATGATTAGGCGAGATTTTGACTGTTTCATTATTTTTATTTTAAAGTACAAACTCGTACCAGAAGCATTTAGACTCCTTTTTTGTACACTGCAACAGCACTGTGTAAGCTGTCCAAAGCTAACAGTCATTTATTTTTTTTAAAACACAAAAGTGTTGGCAAAATGTACTAAAGGAATTAAATTTTATGGGTACTGTCATGAAATTTGACATTTTTGAGGAATTGTGGCACTTATAGCTATAGTAGCGGCGAGACAAAGGTGGATTTTATGGTCCGTTCAGAAAAGGGTTTCACTAGTAAAGGAAATTTGTTCTTTTTTGTTTTCTTTTTGAAGGGGGGCAGAACATTTTCTACGTTAAAATTATGTATAATTAATCTTTTGTTGCCTTCTAGCTGTTTTTAAATTAAGACCTTAGTGAGTTTTAATAGAAAAGGATTATTTCTTTGGGCGGGGCTAATGAGAGAACCTGGGCATCATCCTTATTTTGCGGTGCTGATCGTTTGATAAACCTTGAGGAGGTGATATCCACCACTTTATTTATGAACTGTGCGTCATACTTATATCCTCTCTTTTTTGAGAGGATATAATATCAAGTAGACCTCTTTGGACTTCCAGAAACTGCAATTTTTCCAGTTCAATCTTTGCAACCAATCAGATTTGATGGAGAGCATCTCTGAAGTGCACCTTTCAGGTTTTGTCACTTGTGGATTTTGATTTGACTGGACCATTGCTTTCTGTTTTCTGTTCTATTGGACACCAGCAGGTTATTATCCAGGGGTAACTTATGTTTAATCCACAGTCGGGCCTTAAGGACTCACTTATACCAGTTGTAAATTGAATTTATCTGAAATTATTTGTTTCTCAAAACAGATTCCACAATATGATTTAATAAACTAGAAAATTCCTGAAGAAATTTAACCGGGCCCTGCCAAAGTGTGCCCGTCGATTTTGACCCAGCGTTCTGATGCTAAACATTAGCATCCATGCTAAAGAAAGCTGCAATGTCATCAATACAATGTGGAGAGTCACAAGCATGACTTACTGCATTCAGGAAACTAAATATGGGTAATAAGTAAGGGAAATAGCTAATGCAAGGTAAAAGGCTAATGCTAATGCGCTGCCTTGCGCAGCAAGGCAGAGCCCTAACCTTAGTGGAAAAGATCATGCAGGATAATCTTATTGCACTGCCTATGGCAGTGCACTGGTGGGGAACAGAGAAATGCTAATGTTTGTGCTAATGCTAATGCACTGTCTTGCTATGCAAGACAGTGCCCTAACTTGAGAGGAAAAGATAATGCAAGCTAATATCATTGCAGCGCCTGCGGCGCTGCATTAGCTACGGCCGAATCTTAAGGCTTTTATTTTAAAATGTTCAGAATGTTTAATTTTAAATGGTCAATGTAATCCCATGTATAACAGTGATTTGGTTAAATCAGACATATAATGGTCAAAAGAGCACTTATTTAATAAAAAAATTCTCAAGGCTTTTATTTTGAAATTTTTTTAAAGCTTAATTTAAAATTTCCACACTAATTCCATGTGTAACAATGGTTGGTTAAAAATAGTTATAAAAGGCCCAAAACACAAGCAGTTCTAAAGTCCAGCTTTTTTCTCTGAGTTCTGCCATAGTTAGAACTACAGTGATGCGTTTTTGTAGTCCTAATCAGCTGGCCCCTTTGTGTTCCGTTGCCATGGTAATGGATCCTCTGCCAGCTGTGAGTCAGACAGGGGGAGACTTAATTCTATCAGTTTGAGGCAGCCACTTTCCCTAAAATAGGCATGAGCCAGAAAGGAATCTTAAGGCTTTTATTTTGAAATTTTCATTGAGATTAATTTTAAATGGCCAATCTCATCCCATGTTTAACACTGATTGGGTTAAATCAGTTATATAGTGATCAAAAGAGCAATTACTTGATGGAAAAATTGTCAAGGCTTTTATTTTGAAATTTACATTAAGCTTAATTTTAATGGTAACACTAATCCCATGTGTAACTATGGAGTTTTGAAATCAGTTCTAAAATTTCCAAAAACCAAGTACTTGTCATGGCCAGCTGATTACTCATCGGTAGTAACTGACAGTTCTGCCATGTTGTAGTTCTGACAATCAGCTCAGACCTCTTTTGTAGGCACTGAGTGTTCCGCCATGTTGTAGTTCTAACCTTCAGGAATTGT